TGCCCTGACCGGGAATCAAACAGTGACCTTCTGGTTCATGAGTTGAAGATCAGTCACTTAGCCACTCTGGCCAGGCTCCTTTGTCAAATATTAATTGAGAGTAATGGCTTGGGCTAATTTCTGGGTTATCTGTTGTTCCATTGATCTATATGCCTGTTCTTGTGCCAGTACCAGGCTGTTTTGATTACAGTGACTTTTTTGTTTTTGTCTGGGAAGCTTTTTATTTCACCATCTATTTTGAATGATAGACTTGCTCATAGAGTACTCTTGGTTTCAGATCCTTATTTTCATTACTTTGAATACTTCACCATTCCTTTCTGGCCTACAGTTTCTGTTGAGAAACCAGCTGACATCCTTATGGGAGTTCCTTTGAAGGTAACAAATTGATTTTCTCTTGCTGAAGATTCTCTTTTTGTCTTTAATTTTTTGCATTTAATTATGATATGTCTCTTTAGGGCATGGGTCTCTTTAGGTTCTTCTTGCTTGAGACTCTCTATGCTTCCTAAACTTCTGTGAGTTGTTCCTTCACCAGGTTAGGGAAGTTTTCTGCCATTATTTCTTCAAACACTTTCTCCATTTCTTGCTCAGTTTCTTCTCCTTCTGGCATTCCTATTGTGCAAGTATTGTTACATTTCATGTTATCCCACAGCTCCTTAAGTTGCCCTCCTGTTTCTTTGTTCTTATATTTTTATTGATTTCAGAGAGGGAGAGAAAGATAGAAACATCAATGATGAGAGGGAATCATTGATCAGCTGCCTCCTGCACACTCCCTACTGGATCAAACCCGAAACCCAGGCATGTGTCTTTGAACAGAATCAAACCTGGGACCCTTCAGTCTGCAGGCAATGCTCTATCCACTGAGCCAAACCAGCTAGGGCTGTCCTCCTGTTATTTAATTTTATTTTTCTTTTTGATCCTCTGATTGAGTGATTTTTTTCTACCCTGTCATCCAATTCACTGATCCGATCCTTGGTTTCCCCTAATCTGCTGTGTATTCCTTCCAATGTGTTTTTTTTTCTTTTTAATTTTATTTATTAAATTGATTGCAGTGACATTGGTCACCATGAACATATAGGCTTCATGTGTGGGTTTCTATGCCAATGTGTTCTTTATTAGTGCTGTCATCATATACGACTGGTCTTTTTTCATAGTTACTATGAAAAGGTCTTCAACAGGATAGGGCAACTGCCTTCCCCCAGGAATAAACCACCTACATAGCAAAGGTCCGTGGAGAAAGATGTCCTCCGCAGCGTGAGGGAATGACTCAGCACAGGCAAGTGGGGTGGCTGCCTTCCAAGCTCCAACCCTAGAGCCCCCAACCATGGACTCTCCGCACACAGCTCCAGTCCACTCTGCCCTCCCTCACTCAGCACAAGGTGAGTGGCTGAGCATGAAATTTTGTGCATTGGCACCTTTAAGTACAGGGCGCCTGCATCTCCAGCCATCTCTGGCTAACAGAGAGCAACCCTGGTGCTTTTCACAGCCAGACATTCTGTGGGCACCTTTCTCAGTTCTAGCTCTCTGGGCTGGGGAGTCCAGTTTGGGTTTTAGACCCTTGAATTCTTAGTGGGAACCTCCCACAACTGAGATATCCCTCTGGACCTTCAGCCACTGTCTGTGGGAGCCCGTCCAGCCCTTTTGCATCTCTGCACTTCCTACCAGTCTCTATGCGGTCTCCACTTTCTGTCCTTGGTTATCAGGGTTCTCTCCAGCTAGTCTTCAGTTTATTTTTCAGGGTGCTTTTCTCTATTTTAGTTGTATTGACAGTTTGGTCCTGGGTGAATGTCAGTGTAGCTTCCACTTACTCCACCACCATTTTTAATCCTCTCTGGTGTATTCTTTATTTCTACGATGTCATTCTTCATTTCTGACTGGTTGCTTTTCATAATTTCTATATTTTGTTTATGCTGTTGAGCATCCTTATAATCCTTAAATCCTGTAAATAATCCTTATAATCCTGTAAATGCACAAATCCTTATAAGATTGCTTATATCCATTTCATTTAGTTCTTCTTCTGGAGAATTCTCTTGTTCTTGCATTTGGGGGTTGTTTCTTTGTCTACCCATTTTGGCTGCCTGTTGGGTTTGTTTCTATGTATAGGTTAATCTGCTATGACTCCCAGTCTTGGTAGGGTGGCCTTATGTAGTAGTTGATCTGCGGAAACCAGTAGTGAAGTCTCCCTGATCACCAGACCTGGGTGCTCTAATGTTCCTGTGTGCGTTGTGTGGGCTCTCCTGTTGTACTTGAATCTTGATTGCTATTGTCTCATTCATGTGTGGGCTCGACCCTCAGGCTGGCTGAGAGTGAGGCTCAATTCCCAACACAGCACGCAGACTGCTGTGCAGGTGCTTATCACATGAAGTAGCATTCACCTCAGCAGTGTTTGGAGCCTGCCAATATCTCCCTGATGATAAGAAGCTTTTCGGATCCTGCTCTGTTGTCTGAAGCTGACCACTGGGTTTATTGGTTTTGGACCTCTTCAAAGAGTCTCTGGTACAGGCCAATGTCAGACACTGTTTGTGACTAGCCCTGAGTACCCTATTTGAAGCTATCAGAGATCCACAGCTTGTGATTCCCTCTGCTGGGGCTGGGTGCATTTGCAAAGGACCGAGATGCACACTAAGGTCTACTTTTGCTAGCCCCACATCCAGAAGCAGATCCAGCACAGACTCAAAGCACCCAGAGATCTGCTCCTGCCTGCAGGTTGATTATTAGTCTCAGTCACTTAATGAACCTCAGGCTGTAGACCACAGGGTACAGTGAGGGTTTCCAATGGCTGGGGCAATTGCTTCCCCCCAGGCTATAGTTGCCTTGGCAGTAAAGTTCTGCGTGAAAAAGATGGCCTCTGCAGTATGGGGGAATGACTCAGCACAGGGATCCAGGCGGCTGTCCTTTCACCTCTGTACCCTGAGCCACCAACCCCGAATTCTCCTCACACAGCTCTAGTCGACTGTCCTACCTCTGCTGAAGCCCAAGGTGAGTGGCTACACATAAAATTTTGTGCATTGGCCCTTTAAGAGGGTGCCTGCTTTTCCAGCCATCTCTCCCTGGTAAACAGAAGCCCCATGGCTTTTCACAGCCAGATGTTATGTGGGCACCTTTCCCAGTTCTGGTTCTCCGGGCTGGGGAGCCTGGTTGGGGGTTTAGACCCCAAACTTCTCAGGGGAAACTCCCCACAGCTGAGATATCCCTCCTGAACTCAACTGATGCCTGTGGGAGCCCAGCCAGCCCTCTCGCAACTCCACAATTCCTACCAGTCTCGATGTGGCCTCCTCTTTACATCTTTGGTGATAAGGATTCTCTTCAGCTAGGCTTCAGTTGGTTATTCGAATGATTTTTTCTATATTTTAGTTGTAATTCCAGTTTGGTCCTGGAGAATGTCAATGTAGCTTCCACTTAATCCACTGCCATCTTGGAATCCTCTATTTATCACTTTTTTGTCTAGAGTTCTTTTTACCTCAGGAAAAAAAGAATTTTTTTTTTTCATTCTGCTTCTAGCTAAGGCCAAATATCAAGTTTGAGACAAAAAAATTTTTTCCATCTCAAACTTAAAACAAAGCAAATAAAAGCCTAAGTTGCATTCCATTTTGGTACCTTCACTTACTACAACTCCCAGAAGACTAAATCTTTTGAGTGAATCACTATTCTGCTGCCTGATTTTACTTCACCTCACTTACATCTTGGCAAGTCATCTATTAGCCCTAGTCACAGAGTTTTATATTAACACATAGATAAAAGAGGGCAGTCTGTTTTGTATATGAACTTAAAATGGTGAGTCACTACTTTTTACCTTTGCTTTTCTTATAATATAATACATCTAAATATTCTGAGACAAATTATTTCTATACTTTGTTAGGCATTTTAGAAAATCCCAGGAATGTACATCAGAATCATCAAGGTAAGTTTTTAAAAAATATACGTTTTTTTCTCCACTCCACATCTGATGAATCAGGATCTCTCTGTAAAATGCAAGAGATTAAATAACAAGGAAAAACTATGCAATGTTAAAAAGAACAGGTTCATCTTGTCAGGTCAGGGCTTTGATTCGATCCCACCTGGAAGCCAGTAAGTTAGCCTACTACTGTTTCATGGATACTGGCAGAGACATGAAACTCAGACAAAAGATTATATCATTCATAGCTAAGCAAGCAGCATGAGCATCATGTTTGTGATGGTTTCCTCTGCCCACAAATCCCATGTGGGTCAGGCAGAATAGCCCAGATAGATTCCTGGACACAAAGTAGGTTATGTTATAGGAGAGGAACACTGAGCTTGGGGATTCTGTTGTTTTAACCAGACAGCAAGCAAACACACACTCTTGTACCAAGAGGGAGACATTACCTCAACCCTCAAGGTTGCTTGTTACAAATGCAACTCCTAGAAATGAACGAGGTAAAGAGCAGTTTGGGCCTTGAATTATTTAAACCAGCAAGATGTTGGAATTTGAAAGAACCATGGAAGTGTCTCAACACATGAACTAATATGGGAATGTGTCATGAGTTAAAGATGGCAAATTTTTTTAAAAAGGAAGATGTAGGAGCATACTATAGAACAGTGATGGCAAACCTATGACACGCATGTCAGAGGTGACACGCGAACTCATTTTTTTGGTTGATTTTTCTTTGTTAAATGGCATTTAAATATATAAAATAAATATCAAAAATATAAATCTTTGTTTTACTATGGTTGCAAATATCAAAAAATTTCTATATGTGACACAGCACCAGAGTTAAGTTAGGGTTTTTCAAAATGCTGACACGCTGAGCTCAAAAGGTTCGCCATCACTGCTATAGAACAATGTTTTTTGTTTTTGTTGTTTACAAAATAGACATGTATAATCCTGTAAATGCACAAAACATTTTTAGAAGAGTATACAAGAAACTCCTTTGGAAGTGGTAATAGGGAATTTGAGTATAAGAGGAAGTTTTATTCCACTTTATACCATTCCATTTGCTTTATTATGAACATATATGTCTTGTTTAGAAATCATAAAAATTCACCTGTTTTTTGTCAGTAGATACTCTGGCCATCTCTTCATTATCTCCTAAATGTCCACACTTTCCTTCTTCCTTTTCCTAATTAAAAGCAGATTAAGGGGGGGAGGAGGTTAGCACATAAGATGTATGATTAATTCTATATATTCTATTTCAAAGCCAGTTTCCTTGGCTTTGGACCATTCTTTTTTTTTTTTTTTTCCTTTTCTTTTTTTTTAATTGATGAAACTCTGCATTGACTTCCTGCTTTATTCAGGTTCATGTTCAGACTACTTAACCTAATAAGCTAGGCCTTTTTATTCTGGCCCCTACATGCTTTTCCAAAACATTGAAGGACTGGACATTATAGTCAAAAAATAAAATTCTGTAGTTTAAAATTTTAGAGTTGGACAGTTTTGAGCAATGGAAAAGTCCAGAGTATGGCCATGGCTAAGCAGGACTAAAGGGGAATAGTGGAAAATTAACTGGATTTGAGAAGAAACTATGTAACAAAAGCATTAGATGTGGATTATGGTAGGTGGAATAATGATCACCCAAAGGCCTTCCTGTCCCAATCCCTGAGCCTGTGGCTGTTAAATTACCATGGCAAGGTTGCAGATGGAATTAAGGCTGCTAATTAATCTGATCTTGAGATAAGGAGATTACCCTGGATTATGTGGGTAATAACAAGGGTCCTCTCAGTGAGAGGGAGGCAGGAGAATCAGTGTCAGAGTGGTGCAACGTAAGACAGCCTGGCCACTACTGGTTTTGAAAATGGAGGAAAGGGTCCATGATCCAAGGCATGTGGCAGTCTCTAAAAGATGGAAAAGGCAAGGAAACGGATTCTTCCAGAGCTTCCGAAGGAATGCAGCCTGCCAACATTTTTATTTTAGCCCAGTGAGACTCATTCCCGACTTCTGACCCCCAGAACGTTAAGATAATAAATGTGTGTTGTTTTAAGGCACCAACTCTGTGGTAATTTGTTACAGCAGCAACAGGACTAAGGTAGAGATGTCCATAAGTCTAAAAGTAAAACAAGAGAAAGTTTTGAGGCCCGGCTGGCATAGCTCAGTGCTTGAGCGCCAACCTATGAACCAGGAAGTCATGGTTCCATTCCCGGTCATGGCATACTCCTGGTTGCAGGCTCATTCCCCCATGTGGGGCGTGAAGGAGGTAACCAATCAAGGATTCTCTCTCATCATTAATGCTTCTGTCTCTCTCTCCCTCTCCATTCTTCTCTGAAATCAATAAAAATATATTTTAAAAAAATAAAGTTTTGAGCCAGGGACCAAACTCCTTTATTTGTAAGTCAATTCAACAAATATGTATTGAACCCTTGCTATGTGTCAGCCACAGACCTAGTTGCTCAGCACACAGCCCTTACAGAGCTTATGATTTATGAATACAGGTACCGACTATGAAGTGAATAGATAATTAAGCCAGTTTCAACCTCACAGGGGCCGTCCCGACCTCACCGGGGCAGTCTCGACCTCACTAGGGCCGTCTTGATCTTTCCGGGGGCATCCCGACCTCACCGTGGTCGTCCCGGCCTCACTGGGGCCGTTTCGACCTCACCGGGGCCGTCCTGACCTCAGTAGGGCCGTCCGATCTCACCGGGGCCGTATCGTCCTCACCGGGGCCGTCCCAGCCTCACCGGGGAAACACGAAGTTTGGCCCTCTGTCCCCTGCCGCCAGACAAAATCTCCAGGCGTTCCTGGTGGCTGAACATCCAGCACTCCTGCTCGGACCACGCCCTCCACCAAGTGCACAGACTGCCCATCTGCCGTCCCCCAGCGCCCCACGCGAGACTGGAACCGGTGGGCATGTTTGTGCGCCTGCTGGTACAGCGGTTCCACAACGCTGGCCAAGCCGGGCCCAGCCCCGGCCTGCCCTGAACCCGACTCAGCCCCCCAATTGCGTCCCTCCCGGATTCGAGGAGCTGAAATCTGCAGCCTGCTGGGTTGGGCTCTGTACTTGGTGCCTCTGCACATCCTACTCAGTCTCAATGCTCTTCTTTCTATGCGAGGAGTTGAAATCTGCAGTTTGTTGGGTTGGG